GTGTTCTTATAAGCAAAGATGTTCAATAATAAAAAATAATTTTAAAAAAAGCCGCATAGTTCAAAGCGTGGGAAAAAAGTAGCAGCTTATAATCCGAAAAATACGGTAAATTACACATATGTACACCTACATATATGTATGGTAAACTTATTGTCAGTAAAACGGTTTACATAGTTAAGAATAAATCATATATTTTATACATGGGGTTTTTAATCAAAAGAAAAAAACTGTGGCTGGTGAAACGTTTGAGTGTCTAGTAAAAACTTTTCTCTACCAGCCACTGTGGCTGGTGGAGAAAATTTTTAATTTCTTCCCCCATTTCTAATGCTCCCACAGTCTCATTAGAGTACTCTGTGTGTGGTTAGGTGAGGTCACACTGACCCCATGTGTGCTTTTACTTTGGTGATGGAATGATGGGACAACACCTCCACTTCCTCGTTGTCAGACCGTGACATTTTCCGCGCTTCTCTTGAGTGTTGCCCTAAGACCATGTGAGGGTTTATAGAAGATTTTCTAAAGAACCAACATATCTAAGTGTCTCCTTTATCCAAGACATGTATTTCTTGGGCAAAGAAAATAATTTCAGTTTGTCTTCATTCCATTGATGAAAACTGTGAGCATGAGTTATTCTTTTCTACATCTATTCCTTATCTACATCATGCATAAACTTTGAATTGACTTGTTGCTGAAATGTCCTATGCAAATAACGTTGCCTCACCTTATGTCCTGTCTCGTTACTCCTTTATGGTCTTCCTATCTTCCTTTTCTTGTGCTATTAATTATTTTTCAACCATTGTCTTTCCTTCTTCCTCAAATTTTCTGTGTCCTCCTTAATTCAGTGTGCCTTACGTTTCTTTCTTCTGTTCTTTGTGGTGACCTATTCATTCTCTTTCTTTTAATTCCTTTCTTTCTCTTTTACTTCATCTGTTCTGAATCCAGTGTTCCTTCTCTTCCTTTCTTGTCCTTTTCCTGATAAGGACAGACAAGAACAAGAGAGGACATAAAAAGCATTCCTGTATTTCTGAGCCCTTCTTTCTCTTCTTCCTTTTCATTTCTGTCCAATCCTTTCTTTCTTGTCCTTCCATGTTGCTTTCTTCCTTTCTTCAGGTTCTGGATTTTGCTGATTCTATCATTTTGGTCAGACCATTCTAAAAATGTATGCTATAAATCGATAGTTAACTTTTGTATTTTATATTGAATAAATAATGTGATAGACTTGAAACTGAGTCTGGATAAGTCTGGAAGTTTCACATGAAAAATGTGTAGGATATTTTTTAAACTGCCTGTTTAAAAGTTGGCCCCGCATTTGACTGTTGTTTTTGGAAATGGTTCTCTTTTTTTCCATTGAAGTGTTCTTTGTTCATAAATCTACTCCACAGGAGAAACGTGGAACCCACTGAAGCTGCATTATCAGCTGAGGAATGTCCGTGAACGACTGGCCAAAAACTTGGTGGAAAAAGGCGTCCTCACAACAGAGAAACAGAACTTCTTGCTTTTTGATATGACTACACATCCCCTGACCAACAACAACATCAAGCAGCGTCTTATCAAGAAGGTCCAGGAAGCTGTTCTAGACAAGTGGGTGAATGACCCTCATCGAATGGACAAGCGATTGGTGGCACTTATATTCTTAGCCCATTCTTCTGATGTGTTAGAAAATGCATTTGCCCCACTACTAGATGACCAGTACGACTTGGCCATGAAAAGAGTGCGACAGCTGCTAGAACTGGAGCCTGAGGCGGAGAGCATGAAGGCCAACACTAATGAGATGTTGTGGGCTGTGGTAGCTGCTTTCACTAAATGAGACTTAAGAGCATTGGACACAGTCTCTGGTGGTATGCTCTGTGTACTGTTGGGTACAAATTGGAGTAATAATCCCAACAAGAGAACTTTACTGGTGGGGTTGACTGAACTGCAGGAGATTCTGTCTTACTGGCATTTTTTTCCCCTTCCAGGTAACTGTTCTTGTGGACCAATAATATGCTCCAAATCTGAAATTGCTATTTCACTTATCACTTTGCTAAAAGTCTATCAGAAAGTTGAATGAAATTGTTTATGAAACCAATATCTTGACTTTTTTGTCTCTTAATATGTTAATAGAACAGTTTGGCAAATGTAAGAATACAGTGACCAAGTCTGAGATGAATGGACATATCCATGTAAGAGCAGTGTAGAAAGTTATTTGATGATGCTGTTGGACCAAACGATATTATGCTGCAAGTATGCAACATCCGTATTTCCACTCGTTTCACAACAGGAACAAGAAAGCAGACAATATGGCAAGATCCAAACTAAGTGTTCTGTCCTGATCTCAGTGTATTGGCAATAAGAAATTATTTAATGTTGGTGTTGCCTCAAACAACCCAGTGCGACAGCTGCTAGAACTGTAGCCTGAAGGAGAGAGCATGAAGGCCAACACTTAGTCAATATATGTGCTGCTTTTCTTGTTCAGTGTTAGGAGGAACAGTGCTAAGAGTACATATTGACTCAAATCCCAGGTCTGACTAAAGCAACAGCTGACCTTCTTATAGGAAGGAGATTGTTTAATTCACCTCAAAATAGTAATGCCAGAAATAAAAACTTTAATCAATCACTGCTTTAAGAATGGTTAATATTTTGTCTCTTTATTGTTTTAGGTACAATACAGTCTGCAGTCAGCAGAAATGAAAAATGCATTAAGGAATGATTATGTGTATAATCTTTTCTGGATGTAGAAAGTAAACTGTTTTTGTCATACAAGTTATACAGTCATCCTGCAGACAAATGAATTTGTGATGATGTCCAATAGATTTGTTGTCAGTACAACGAATCTATTGTACTGACGACTTGATCTGGTTCAACTAATCTTTCAAGTGTTGGCATGTGTCCAACTGATAAGTCTGAACCTTAATTCTTGATCAGGACAGTAATAGGTCTAGCTAGTTGATGATTAATCAAAGCTTCACTTGAAAAAATGTACTCGAGCTCCCAAACATGAAACTGCTTTCTTTTTGTACAGTTGTAGCTTAAACATACAGATTCAGTAAACCTAGTCTAGTTTTAGACTTGTCTTGGCAAAATCTATAAGATCTTCAGGGGTTAGCTTAGCTAGTGAAATACTCAGTTCTAACTGGAACAGGGGTTAATTATGCAGGGTATTTGATGTTCAGATAATTCTGACGTAACTCAGATTGGTTTTATTGTTTGAAATTGTAAACAAAGAGGCTTCTTTAGTTTGTTTAATCCCTTTTACCATAAACTATCACTTGGTCCTAGTTTTTTTTTTATCACCAAGCTCATTGTGTTGATCAACACTTTTCTGTGTTAAATTCACAGAGTTGCAGAATTTAAGATAATGGAAGATGTTTTCTTAATAAAATTTTTAATGTGTTTGTCTTGGATCTTGGGAGTTTCTATCAAACAAATCTTATGTACAGAAGATAATTAGTGCCACATGAATTCGAGCATGTGGCACCAATGGATACAAGTATGCTATATTTACAGAAGTATAAATCATATTTAGAATAGTGGATGAATGAAACGTTAGTTTCCACTGCAGGTTGTTCTATCTCAAATAATTCATGCGTCTAATAAATCCCTCAATTAGTTGCATCAGGTGTCTGAGATGACACCTTATTTGCTAAGTTCTATTTCAAGGTGTTGAATTAGTCTGCAGTGGTCATTGAAAGTAAGATTATGTGCTTACTGTGGGTAAACCCGGAGAATTAGAGGCATTATTATGTAAAATGTACTTTTGAGTTTTACATCATGTTATGTTATTCCCTCATCAAAAACATACCTGGTGTGTTGTTTTGATTGTTTCATGCATGTTAGAGAAATTCTTAAATCTCCTATGGCAACTATTCAACTGCGTAAAATGCCTGAGTGGACTTAACTCCTCCTCTGAGCAGCAATTTCCAAGCTTCCACCTCACAGAGCATTCCTCCCCTGGGCTCCCCCATCAGCTCCTTCAGACTAGCTAGCACTAATTACCGAACAACTGTTGAAACTGCGCATCTGCTGAGCTCATTATACAAGCTACTTCTCAGTGCAAAGCTGATGGAGTGTTGGAAAGAGTGGAATTTTCTTAGAGACGGAGGCCCGATCTCAAGTCACGAAGTCAAGTTTCTTTTAAGTCATATTTGATATATACAGCATTTTTATTACAATTGCAGGTAACATAATTACTTGATTGTGCAATAAAAGTATTCTATGTGATATACTGCCGCTCTAAGAATTTTGCTTCTAATGTAATTGTTGGATTTTTTTTTTTTTTCAAATGAACATCAATCATCAGATATAAATTGCATAAAATTAAATGAGAACTTTTATTAAGATTACTTGGGCATCCCTTGGCTCAATTCAGTTTTTTTCCTTGCAATTAAAGGTACAGTAGTAATGCCATCTTGTGGCAGAAAGAGTAAACTGTCAATGGGTGCCACCATATTTTTGAAAGAAGTGGAGGAAAAATCCTTGATGGATTTTAAAAGACCTGCCACAAATCTTGGAGCCAGCAAGTGGTGAGATTTAAGCTTCCACAGTGAAGCACATGCTGAAAGCTGAAGGGCTTCATATGTCTGTGCTCCATCATGGACACCCCTACAGACCCAAAAACGCAAAAAACATGGGCTGCAATTTGCTCACAAATATATGCATCATCCAAAACATATTTTGAGACAAAATTTATACATCATCCAAAAAGGCAGTTAAAAAACTGGACTATAGTTGTGGGTTTAAGCATTATTAGCAATGTCTTCCAGTAACATAATTACCCAGTAATATTTTTACATGTCCTGTCAACATAATACAAAAATACAAAATACACCCCTTAACAAGTTTTCTGGGGAAACCCTGAATATGGTTAAGATCCAGATTCTGTGGAGGCTGATCTATGTGCAAGAATGATGTCTCATGCTCTATGAGACATCATTTTCAAATTTAATCACAATTTGAACCCGATGATTCTTGTCGTGTTATCAAGGGAAAAAAAAAAAAATCATTGATGATGGTATATTCAGGTAGTCATTCGTTGGACACATAATGTTACCAGACCTGACCAACTGCAGCAACCCCAGATCACAGCGCTGCCTCCTGGGGCATGACAGTAGGCACTAGGTATCAGTTTACCTGCCTCTCCGCTTCCTCGATGTGCCCAAATGAGAAGCTAGTCTTTGCATCAGCTGGAGTTAAATAACTTGTTGCTAGCTGAAAGATAATTGCACATGCAGTAATAATCTAATAGGAGGCTTGTAAATTTAGGTGATGAATTATGTTTGGTCCAGCAGTGTTCCTCATTGTTTTCAGGCAATATTGGATGTATTTTTCCACTGATGTTGAAATATGGACTTTATTTGCAAAATCTGAAAATGAATCATTAAACCCATCTTTAAATAACCAGGCATGTGTATTCACTTGCATGAACAAGGAGATGTTTCGGGTCTATTTTTATCACTTGCTAATATTTAACATGATTTTAAACCTCTAGGCGGTCGTGGCAGATGGCCGTTTCCACTAAGCTCTGGTTCTGCTGGAGGTTTCTTCCTGTTAAAGGAGAGTTTTCCTTTCTGCTGTTACTATGAGCAAGCTGAGAATGAGGGATTGCTAAAAGGTCCATGACTCAATGCAAGTGACGTTCGTCTGTTGCTATGTGCTTGTTTTTAAGGGGAGTAAATGCTGCAAGTCAATGACTTAATGCAATCTTCTGGGTTTCCTTAGATAATTTTTAAGCTAATTTGAATAATAACCTGAACTTGACTGAATTGTTTGATAACTAGGATTAATTGGAATGTGTGTATTATGATTTGCTTGCCAAGGACTTGAACCCAGAAAAGATGTTGCCATGCTTTATTAGAGTGTTTCTCAATCCTGGTCTTCTGGTCCATCTGCCCTGCATGTTTTAGATACGTCTCTGTTCCAGAACACCTGATTCAAATGACTCCATGACCTCTTCTGCATGCCAGAAGCCTGTTAATCACCCACTTATTCAAGTCAGATATGTGGCAGAAGGGAAACACCTGAAATATGCATGGTAGTGGTTCCTGAGGACTGGGATGGAGAACCAGTCCTTTAAGATAATTTCATAAGAAATATTAGACTGAATACATTTCAATTAATTAGGAAAGACAGTGTAGATGTACAGTTTCTATTAATAACTTGATCAACAGAAATGACTCCAAAAAAGCACAAAATGCAGTTGAAATAACAGAATACTTTCAAGACTAATGTCAATATACTGACAATTCTGGAATTACATCACATATTTAATATGTTAAGCAGTGAAGTTATTGTACATGGCTCTTTCTATGCTGGTAAAATGTTACCTTTGCTTTAATCAATTTCAAGACCTTAAATTCATGCCTATTTGATGCCTTTGGCTTTTAGCTCTTCTTGGACTCGGTTGAGGTAATCAGGATCTGGGTATCCATAGCTGCAAACAGGAAAACAAATCCATCAGCTTGGTGCTGGTGTCAACCTCCAATAATCAGACGCTAGGTCACATCTATTACCACTTGGATACGTCAGCTTTGTTTCCAATTTTTATTTATGATATTTTTATGATAGTAGCTTATGAAATATCCTGACCACTACTGACCACAACTTGCTCAGGGAATTTACTTTGAGGAACGCCATTAAGTCTGTGCCTAAAACATCTAAGGCTATTAAGTCCTGTACACCAAATGATTTATGGTGCAAGGTCATTAAAAGCTCATTAAGTAATCAATAAAATAATAAATATGTAATATAAGGCCATAAACAGTACTTACGAAGTTGGTCCTCCATGCATTGATGTCTTGTGGTGAATATCATTCCAAGTCACCATATTGTTCCTGCCACTGGTGCTGGATCGACCAATAGTGAAGATGAGCCTCTGATTAAAGGCTTTCCTGAGCAGCTCCAGGACTTTCCTTCCTTCAGAGGAGTCTGGAAGGTAGGCGGTTCGGGATGCACCTTCGAATGGTTGACCAGGGTTTGGATGCTCCTCCTGCAAAAAATTTTCATTTTAAAAGTCATCTCAAGGTGTGATGTGATTGTGCCCAGATAAAAGCTACTACTTCCTAATAGGAAGTAGTAGGCTAACTGTCCTTAAGGAGCAAAATTATTTGTAACAGATACAGAAAATTGTTTTCTCGGGATTAAAGCTGCACATGCACAGGCATTCATGTGAAATTATTAAGGATGCATCCAAGCAAAGGATTGATCGGGTGAATTCAAACTCTTGCCAATAATTTGGCCAACTGGATGGACTTTCACTGTTGTTTCCAAATCTAAGTCCTTATGACAGAGATAATGCTCAGGGAGCGTGCTTTGGGAAATGGAATCAATATTACTTGGAATATTGAACCGTAATCTCACACTCCCGTATTCTAGTAGTATTTTTAGTTTTGCAATACAAGTTTTATCTAAGGATGGGCATTTATCATATGGTTTGATTATTGTAAAGAAATAATAAATAAATCAGAATTGTGATATAAAAATAATCTGATTTATCGTAACAACAATAAATTATAACTTATGACATTTTGTCAACCTTAAAAGAAATGGAGCTAAAGCGAAAGTTCAGACTGGAAGACTCCGCCCCCTCCATTCCCCCATCGACGTCATGCTCATCTCCGACCTCAGCACTGGACCTCACCCGGCGAGTTCAATCAGCAATCAGGCTCTGCATAAAGGATCCACACCCAAGCCGTCAGCCGCTTCCCAGCTGCGTTCAACCCACCACCTCCCCTTCTCCACCCACATCCTTCAGCTCTCTAGGATAGCACCCTTTCCTGACCACCACCACCAGTGTCGGGCCCTGGGGGGAGAGCATCCCTAATCAGTTATCGGGATGTTCATCGAGTTCACATCAAATCTCAGCTCGAATTCGCTGCCGGGGTCCGAGCGCCAAAGAACTGTTATTCATTCCTGTCATTAAATCTTTTAATTGTTCCCCTTTTGTCCGTCTGAGTCTTTCCAGATTGAAATAGTAGTATTGTCGGGAATGTTACTTTAGATAATTTTCGTCATAATTAGTTTAATCAGGGCATCAATAAATTAAATTAAATAAATTAAATATGGCTTAACTTCATGAAGTAGTTACTTGGTGCATCTGGGTCCTAAAAATCTAGCTTCTTTATATATTATAGGATTAAACCTTAAAAAAGGTTTAAGTAGAATTATTGTACTCTGGAAAATAATTGAATAAATCAGTAAATTAGTACGTAATTATAGAAAGTATGCGCAAACTTCAGACAATACACTGTGTGCACAATTATTAGATAAGTTTTAGTTTTGACCATATCATAATTTTTATGCATATTTTCAAACTTCATTTGTATAAACTTGAATGCTTATTGGATATGAACACATCAGCTGATGTGTATTTGTTTAATGAGGGTGGGTAGAAAATCAACACCAACCATCAAGGTGTGCATAATTATTAGGCAGCTTCTTTTCTTCTGGCAAAATTGGCCAATAAAAGAGATTTAAGTGACTCCTAAAAGTCCAAAATTGTAAAAAGTATTTTAGAGGGAAGCAGCATTCTTAAAACTGCTAAGAAATTGGGGAGTGATCACAGAACCATCAAAAGTTTTTCTGCAAATAGTCAATAGGGTTTTAAGAAACAAGTTGAGAAAAAAAAAAAAAAAAACATAAATTAACTACCAAAGATTTGAGAAGAATCAAACGTGAAGCTGCCATGAACCCATTATCTTCCTGGCCTGTCATATTCCAGAACTCCAACCTACCTGGAGTTCCCAGAAATACAAGATGTTCAGTGCTCAGAGACATGGGCAAAGTAAGGAAGGCTGAAACCGGACCACCACTGAACAAGACATATAAGTTGAAATGCCAAGACAGATCTGAAGATAGATTTTTCAAAAGTTTTATGGACTGATGAGATGAGAGTGACTCTTGGATCAGTTATGGGTACAGAGTCCACTTTGCATCAGAAACCAGCCAGGTGGAGCCCATACCAGTACCTATACTGGTATGGGCTGGTATTATTAAAGATGAGCTTGTTTTCAGTTTGAAAATGGTCTCAAAATCAACTCCCTTCCCTGCTGCAAGTGTTTAGAAAACACTTTCTTCAAGCAGTGGTACAGGAAAGTTTGCATCTTTCAAGAGGACCATGATTGTTATGCAGGACAATGCTCCATCAAGCATCAAAATACTCCACTACTACCAGTAAAAGCATTAAATGATGAAAGAATAATGAAGTGACCTTTCCCTCACCAGATCTAAACCTCCTTGAGAACTTGTGGGCCCTTCTTAAACAGGAGATTTATGGTGAAGGAAAACAGTTCACATCTCTTAACAGTGTCTGGGAGGCTGTGATTGCTGCTGCAAGAAAAGTTGAACTTCAACAGCTCAAGAAACCAACAGACTCCTTGGAAGGCTTACAACTGTTAATGAAAAGAAGGGTGGCTATATTGGTCACTGACATATTTTTTAAATCTTAGAAATGTTGTCAATTTTGAGATGTGTTTATTATTCTAACTTTAATGGATGACAATAAAAAAGTGAGATGGGAAAGTTTTCAGTCTTAAATCAGTTGCATAATAATTTTGCACACAAATAGTTGCCCATTAATCGTTCACACATAGATGTTGTCCTAACAAAGCCAAAATCTCAGTTTTACTTTCTTAAATATTCAGGTTTGAGAGGTTATTAACATTTTGGATTAAAACAAGAGCGCTGGAGTTGTTCAACAATAAAATTAATCCTCAAAACTACAACTTGCGTAATTATTGTACGCAAGTTGTAGTACACCTAAAATAGATTTGGTATAAAGATCAAACTGATTTTTAGCAGAGTGGAATTGGAATGATTTTCTGATTAAGAATAAAGTTGTTGATGGACCCATAAACAGAAATAATAACCTTTGACATGTACAAATGAGTATTAGGCCCACACTAAGAGCATTTCTTTTTAAATCATGAGAATGAACTCTTATTACGAGAATAAAGTCGTAAAATTAGTCGAATAAAATTTTATTTTTTATGAAAGCTCACACATAAAAGCAGTTTTCCCGCTTTATTAAAATTGGGAATGTGGAGCATCTTATGAAGTTATACACTGGTATCAGTTTTATAAGTAAAGAAATTTTAACATGTTAGTAAAAAATATTATCAGTACAAGGACTTTAAAGTCATTAATCAAGTAATTGTGTCTATTTTGAAGAAAGCTGGTTCATTTCAGATCTTGATAAGTATCAAGACACCTTTTTTCTGCGATTAATTCTATATTCTCATAATATTCAGAGAATATTATGAGAATATAGAATTCATATAATATTCTCATAATATTCAGAGAATATTATGAGAATATATTCTCATAATATAAAGACTATGAGGCTTTATTCTCATAGTCTGGCCCTAATCCTCTGTCAAAGAAGTGCATCTTCAGCTGTGTTTGCAAACTTGTTTTGTTGGATACCAAAGCAACAACAGACACACTTCATCCTCCCAAAGATGAAGTACTTTGGAGATGATACACTTTGATAAGTGCAGCTTTGCTCTTACCTTTTGAATTCCACTTGGAATGTGATAATGGATGACTAATGTTCCATGTCTCTCATATCCAGGTAAGCAGGCAGAGGATGTCCTGATGTCCATTGTCCCTCCATCAGGCTGTGTCCCCTTCAAGGTCCCGTACACCTCCCCACAGATAGGACAAACAGGTTTGTAGTCAAAGGCTCTTTGGAGACAGTCTTTGCAGAAGGAATGCATGCACTGCAGGGCCTTTTTCTTCTCTGGTGGGATTGGCTCCATACAAATTGGACATATCTCGTTGCCAGGAGGTTTACTTAGTTTGGGTGAAGGAGCAGATGATTTATAGCTTTGACTTCTTGCTGGATCCCTTTTAACTGGACTGTTGCCTGAACTCTTTGGATTTTGTGAAATAAACTCTTTCAGTTTTTGCACATGTGCAAAAGGTCCACAGACTGCTGTGTCTTTGCTGGAGCCTGATTTAAAAAACAGGAGAGGAAATTTTCTCTGCAGATCCTCAGCTCGATGTGGAGTCACATGAAGAGATGTTAGCTGCAGATCAGAGGCAGTTCTCTGGTAGAAAGTGATAAACCTCTGCCTCACAAAGTCCAGATGCACCCTGTCAGAAGAGTAAGCTGGTTCACTTGGGGCTCTGAAGTTAACCTGTACTGTGCTATGGGGGCCACTGTTTGCTGCTTTGAACTCAATGACAAAATGACCTAGAATTCTCTTTAGTTTTTCATCATATTTTTTTTTTATGTATTCCATCACAACTCTGTTCACAGGTACTGAACATGTTGCAGCACAGCGAATTGGAGGAGCAGTCTGTCCTTGTGTTCCAGGACTGGAAAGATGTCCAGACAGTCGCTTTACAAGCTGCTGCACCTTATTAAAGTCTCTACTGAACACTCTATAGCAGGAACCAGTTTTCTCAGGGCAGCAGTTATCATTAATCCAGTTTTTAACATCTATGTCTCCAATCATCTTTTCATCAATGATCAGAGTAATGTCTGTGATAATCTGCAACAGAACAAAACAGTTTAAGTCATTTAATAAGTCCAGCTAAATAAAGTATACAGTGTGTTTGACTTCCTATGCCGGTCACAAAGTATATTAAAACCTATTCAGTTATTTAGGAGATCATATTTAGATCCGAGATAAAATGAACTCTACTTCTGTTTTTTTATGACTGACAAAGACAGATTTTCTCATAAATATATGCTTTGTTCAAGTCATTTTTATTTAGTTTGACTCCGTTTCAGATCAGTCCTTTTACCTGACCAGGTGTCAGACATCACGAAGCAGATTCAAGCTATCTGGGTTTTACTTATGTTCATGGTCAGCTTTGCATAGTTTTTTTTTTCAGCCACTACTGCAAAAAAAAAAAAAGAGTTTCCAACAAAGAATTTCACCATAATACAACCAGAATTCCAATGACATTAGGACATTGTGTAAAGTATAAACAAAAACAGAATACAATTATTTGCAAATCCTTTTCAACCAATATTTAATTGAATTGACATCAAAAACATGATATGTAGTGCTCAAATGGATAAACTTTATTTTTATTTTTTGGATATACTCACTTATTTAGAATTTGATGCCTGCAACACAATCCAAAAAAGTTGGGACAGGGACTTGTTTACCACTGTGTTACATCATCTTTCCTTTTAGCAATCAATAAGCGTTTGGGAACTGGAGACACTAACTGTTGAAGTTTTAAGTGAATTATTTTTTATTCTTTGTGCATGTACAACTTCAGTTGTTCAGCAGTCTCTGGTTTCAGTTATGGTATTTTGCGCTTCATAATGAGCAACACATTTTCAATGGGAGACAGGTCCAGTTTAGTGATTCAAATTAATAAAACTAAATTAAAATGCCTAGGTTTCATTCATTCATCTGTAAATTCTCAAAAAATTAAAATTTGCAGCCTGAGTTCTAACCAACAGGGACTATATTAGGATTGAGCTGGTATCCATTTCCAGGAATAGGGTATAATAGAATGATGATGGAGAGCTGGTACAAACAAGATGCGTGGGATCTTATACAGGTGTTACGGATTAACTGGTGGTGGCAGCTGGGAGAGACAGATGTTTCAGTGGGCGTGGCTTTTCAGGACCCTTTAACCGAGCTAGGAAATAAACAATGCAATAACCTTAAAGAACTACAAATATTTGCAAAAATACTATTTGATTCCGTAAGACACCAATTAAGATCTCGAGAATAACTAATTAGAAAGACTTTTATTGGTCTAATATTGTATGTTGCCTTTTTTTTTATTAATTTCCAAAACCACCAAAACATATACATTACACAGAACTTGTCCTTACTTATTTGTCAGTTCAGAGGTTGAAACTGAGGGAAGATCGAAATAGATCTCAAGATCCCATAAACAGATCTCAAAGCAAAGAATAATCCCTGAAAGCCAACATAATTGTTGAAGAGACATATAATTTAAAATAAAATGTTTAAAAAGATCCACTGGCTATGTTATTTTTCACATCTCCCTCATATTGTATGTTTTTTTAAATAGGTATCCACAGAAATAGCAAAACTTTTTTAAACACTGTTTTTGTAACATGTTATAGCTTATTTTCTAGTTCATTTACAGAAGACATGGCAGAACTATGTAGCAGTGTTATTTATTCCTTATTGTTGATATTTTTTCTCATAATTTAACTAAATGTCTTTATTCTTTTCATCAAGTGACCTTAATATTCAACCATAAGAGACAACGATGAAAAACAATTGACTTATATACTTTTCCATCGGAAATGGGTTGGAATCTTCCCTCAAACTGAGATTCTGAAAGTGTCACCAGTTAATCCGGGTCTGCTTCTTAAAGCACCGGGTGTCTGTTGGATGAGAACCAATGACAGGTAGGATCATTGGACTTCCATCTGCATTTATGGTAGTGGATAAAACAGCGCTCTTAGAACTCAGCGACTGCTGGTACAAGTTCAGTTATCGCTTTGGACAACTTTACTTTTTGGCAGAAAGTGAATGTTATTCACTTGCTGCCAACATGTTGGAGGTAATATTGTTTAGCAGGTTTGTCAGGCAAACTTTAACTGTAAGAATATTGTCAAATTACCAAGTTGCACAGCTTTGCGTCTGCAGCCCAGAGATGTCTCAAGGTGCAAACAAAATAATGTGGCTTCCATTAAATGAGCAAGGAAATAGTTTGTATGATATCAAGACTGTTTACATTTATTGTTAAGTTTGCACAGCATGCCAGTCAATATAAATCTGGGAAGACGTTAAAATAATGGTCATTAATCTAACAATGCTGGGTGATAATACAAATTCTGACTGTTTAGCACAGTCTCCTCTTGAAGGGTCATATATTTTGGTATCCTTTCAATATATTCTTGAATATTCCTTCACATACAAGGAATTATGTTTTGAAGAGATCTTAGAGAAAGTAGAGACATTTTCAAATCTGTTTATTTACGTCGTTTGTCGTGTTTTCATCAGGAAGCGACACAGCCACTTAATTTTTTTTACAAACATCTGCGTTGAGGACCCTGTTTGACTGTCACTAGTTAAATCAAGTCTTAATGCGGCAAGCTGCTGCATCTTTTAATTTTTTTTTGTTTATTTTCCTTTGTCAACAGCCTGCAAATTGTTTCCCAGTAGAGAACACAGGCAGAAATACTGCAGATATGGCTGTTGGGGGTATCTGACAGTAATGAGAGTGATTCTTTTTTGCAGCAACATTTCATGACACGTTTTGCTTACAATGATTTTTTCTAAAACATGCCAAATATTTACAACAAAGTATTTTATACATTTAGATGTTTGCCATCATTCAAATATAAATTAAATGGATTTTAAATATTATTTTGTACTTTTCACACTTAAGGCAGACAGGTCCAATGGCGAGTGCCTGGTGGCCGGGCTTTTACCCACGGAGCCCGGCCGGGTTCAGCCCGAAGAGGAGACATCCAATGGGCTCACCACCTGTCGGAGGGGCCAAAGGGGTCGGGTGCACTGTGTTTTTGGGCGGCAGCCGAGGGAGGGGACCCTGGCGGTCTGATCCTCGGCTGCAGAAGCTGGCTCTTGGGACGTGGAACGTCACCTCTCTGGTGGGGAAGGAACCGGAGCTAGTGTGCGAGGCTGAGAGGTTCCGGCTAGAAATAGTCGGCCTCACCTCGACGCATGGCTCTGGTTCTGGAACCAGTCTCCTTGAGAGGGGCTGGACGTACTTTTACTCTGGAGTTGCCCAAGGTGAGAGGCGCCGGGCAGGAGTGGGCATACTTGTTGCCCCCCATCTCGGTGCCTGCACGTTGGCATTTACCCCGGTGAACGAGAGGGTAGCCTCCCTCAGCCTACGGGTGGGGGGACGGGTTCTGACTGTTGTCTGTGCTTACAGGCCGAACAACAGTTCA